CAACTTCAGTATAATGTGTCCCAGCTCCAGAGAGTGGTAAAACATTACCTGCAGGATATTTTATCCCTTCAATTAGCCTTTTATAGCCTGGTAGACTCTTCAGATCCAACTCCCACCATGACAGATATGTGTTGTGTCTTCATTTTTTTCAGTAAAATTTAGGAGTCCATTTAGAGTTCATGAATTCTTGCTCAGGAGTCATTAGAAGCAGTATATGTGTGACCAACCTCCCAGAGACAAGTCTTCTAGTGTAACTGATTATTTTAGCTATTTTCTAAATCTATTCTTTGCACGTTCTTCTCCCCTATCTTTAGCATAGTTGGCACAGATTTGAGCAAAATTGTCTCCCACTCTTTGTCCTCAGTCTTCTGGCTCCAAATGGTGTCTGCAAAAAATCCCACCTGTGCGAGGTGCACAGCTAGGGAGGTAAATACTGCCTCTTGTGCACTGTGTTACCTGATGGAACTATAAAGTTAAAGAAATTATTAAAGAATAATACAGCTATTAAAATTAATTCTTCACATCCGGTTTGATAAGAATCCACTCGCCCCCTTTATAAGCAAAAAAAGAGGCAGACCAGCTTGGTTTCTTTGTGTTTCCAACACAATAGGCTGAGCTGTTGCATCTCATAGTTAAACTAGAAAGTACAGGGAAGAATTACATTAATATACTCATAAGCCTATGGGATTATTCAGCTTCTATTTGAAAATGCTTTTGGACTGAGACTAAAAATGAAACTAACCAAACCTCAAATCTGAATTTTATGAGGAGGTTAAGAACATAAAGGAGGACAAGTCTGAACTGAAGAGCAATGGCATTTGTTCAGTTTTCCCCAGACATGGTACTAAACATGATGCTGCTTTCTAAGCTCAGTGTGGTGCAAATGCAAAAGATGTGTTGTGTCACATTCTGATTTTAACTCAGTGGAATAATTTTCAGGTTTTATGAGTTTGCAAACACACTGTTATTTAATAACACATTATGGCTTAATTTGACTGGTGAAGTAAAATTTCAGAATGTCTGTAAAAGTAAAATATACTCTAATTTTTCCCTCATTTTCCTGATCAACATGAAACAAACTTGAGGTATCTTAGAGTGGTATGTGTTTCTTGAGTTCACTTTTCACATGCTCTAAAAGAATGCTTGACTTTTGTTCTTATTGAAATTTTCTAGAAACTTAGTGGAACTGCTTGTGATTTACCTTGTTTTAAAGGGTGGCAGCAGCAACGTTAACTGTCGTAGCAATCTGCCAGAATGAAGCCACATCTAGGCCCAGTATGGCTTTATGTAGGCAAGAAGAAAAACTGCTGTGTGAAAACTGTGAGATTATTCATAGAGTATACCAGCACAGTGCTGTCCAAGTCCAGAGACCTGAGCTTGGTCTAGAGTGGAGCATGAGCAGTCAGTCCACTGCTTAAACCTAGGGACTAGATCTTGAATAAAATTGTCTTTGTTAAAATGATTATTTTGTTCTGATGTAAGTGAAATATTTGTAGACAGTGTTATCTTGTAATGGCTTTCTGTAAGTAAAATGATTCCAGGTTAAATTTTTCCTGGAAAAAAGCTCCCGAATTCCTCAGGACTGTTACTTGCTGCAAAATGAGCAGCAGTACACAGATAAAATGCCCATCATCTAGAAATTCAAACCATTTTAACTGAAGATGTGATTTGCGTATGGAAACAAAATTCTGCCCTGCCTTTCTGCCATGGAGAGGGGGATGAGGAGCTGCTGGCCATACCAACAAGGGCAGGGTTTGGCCCAGTACCTTTATGAAAGAAATCTGATTTGTATGTTTCTTCTCTCTGCAGAGATCAAAGACCATTTACTCAGCTAAATAGTGAAGGCTAGTGTAGATTTATGGAAACAATTTAGAGAATTAATAAACCACACCATAAATCTTGTTAAGGTCACACTGTATGTGATTGTGCCTATATGCAGACATGGAAATTTGGTATCCTTCCAAGTGAGAAGACTAGCTTTCTTGAGCTTAGTTACAGTAAGTAATTAAATTCATGCCCCTTAAATAATGGATCATTGAAGAAAGTGTTGTTGGTTGGTTGGTTGGTTGTTTTGTTGTTTTTTTTAACAGAGATTTTTAAATTATGTGCCCAACCCTTCAAAGTACAGAGTGCTTTCAACTGCCTTGGATTTGGTGGGAGCTGAAAACACTTTGCGTCTTGCAGAATCAAGGGCTTTAAGGGGTCTGAATCAAAACACCTATGAACTTCGAAAAGACTTTTTCTGTATGCAAATGCTAAATCTTCAGACCTGTCTTTAATACAAACCAATATTTACAGTTCGCATGGTCTTAAGATGTAGTAGCTGGCAAGTATGGCCTGTATAAGAGATTGAAGGAGCATGAATAAAAGAGGAATCATCTCATGAATAGAAAGGTTTAAAATAGATGGTATAAAAATAGCTTGTTACTTAGGAAATTTTCACATCCTTAAATCTTACAGAGAGCCAGAGATTGATCTTTAGGGTTGGGGGTTTTTGTTTGTTTTAATTCCCCTTAGGTCAAACCTGGCCTGATAATGGAGCCATTCTCTCTGCTATATGGATATAAATCTGCTCTTACGCAGCTTTTGGCCTACTAATTGACCTTTGATGTTCTCTATATATTCGTAGTTTTGCCACTTAAAAATGCCATTTCCTCCTCAAATTTCAATTAAGGAGGGCGTGTGTGTAAATATATATATATATATATAAAAAATTAATTTGGATGTATGAGCAAAGGGCAGGAATACATGACTGCACACCCATCCTTTCTGTATCCTTAGTAGCCTGTGAACCATTTTCAGCTGTGATTGACACAAGGTAAGAGGAATGTCTCAAGTCTCAAAGACATGGTGTGTCTGCCAGCAGACCACCTGCACACAGCTTTGTGTTTGCTGCTGTGTGTTTCCCCTTGTCCAGGTCCCCTAGCAGCTGATGTGGTATTTCAAGTTGGTGGTGGGACAGAGGTGTTTAGCAGCAAGGTGGAGGTGCAGGGATATGCAGGAGGGGAGTAAGGGTTGAGTGTAGAAATAGCCTCTGGTATCTATGGTTCAAATTCATCAGAGAAAGGGGGTGGGCAAATCTTCTGCTCCAGGGCAACCTCCTTGTTTTCTTGTTTTGTGTGTCAGCCTCAGCAGTGAGGTTAATACAGCTCTGGAAAGCCCGTGAAGTTGTTTTTTCATTAATTAGGAAGCAGCGAAGCTAAGAGACCGAAGGTATTGCATTAACAGTGGTTCTGCATCTCATCCCTAGCAACAGGATTGGCCAAGTTCTTATAAAATACACGTGTAAACAAAAATGTAATCTCCTGTATAGCAGGTCTCACCATCTCAGTTTTTATATCCTGCTGGAGAGAACAGTCTCTCTCCAACAAGCCATTTCTAACTCTGGCTCTTGGTTTGAAATGCTGCTTTGAATAGGACATGAAAGAGATACGATAGTGTGTAGGAAGAGGAGGAAATACAGTGGGAGGAGAGAGACAGCAGCGTAGCTGTATTGTCATCTGTCTTGATTATTGTTCCAAAAAAAACTCCTATGTGTAGTCACCTGCTCTGATGTCATTTAGTTTGAAGACCTAAAGGTCCTGGCCCTGCTGAGTGAGGTTGCTGGGATGGTTTTTCAGAGGATTTTTCTCCCCTTGTCTCTCATCCTGGCTGTGTGTGGTGAATTCTGCTCGGCCAGAAGAGACAGTTGCAAGCTCAGACTTTTAGCCACAAGAAAGGGTAAATATCTGAGAAGTCCCTGAAGCCATTCAGGTGGCTTTCAGGCTTTTGGAAGGATCCTGAGCCTCAACTCCCCTTCCCCCAGTGTGGCATTGCCTGTGCAGCACAGCAGTCCCTGCTCCCAGAGCTAATCAATGTTTACAGAGTTAGTGGACTAAGATGCTAAAGACATCTAAGACCTGTTGAGGGCATTTCATCTGTCTGCCCAGTTGCATATTAATAGGGTGCACTGTAAACCAAGGCTCACAGCTGAAGGGCAGGCGGCTTAGCTCAATTCTTTCAAACTGCTGTGAATGTAATTACACCTAACAAATCAGCCTTTGAATGATGCCCACCAAAACCGAAGCACACACAGATTTATTGCCTGGTCTGTGTGTGAGAAAGGCAGAGAATGTGATCTGAAAGGGGAAGAATAAAAAATTAAAGGATCCCATACAGTGCAGAGCTCTCCCTAGATGTCTAAATTGTAAAAGAGCAGCAAGATTTTAGTTTAATTTTAAATACTCGTCAGGTGGTTTGCCTCTCAGAATACATCATATCAAATCAGTGGCCACTGAAGAGGTACGCAGCAGGGTGCAGAACCACACACTGCAGAAAATGGGAAACACACGGTGACAGCTCTGTTACTGTCAGTCATACAGGCTGGTCCCGTGCGGCAGACCAGCCCTGACTGCGTACCTTGAAGTGCAGCACTAAACATATGCGCTTGCCTGCTTCTGACAGGGGAGTAGCAGTTGTATCACTGACTCCAAGGATCTGGAGTGATTTATTTTTCCTAAGCATTCCTGATAGGATATTATTATACATTGGCTTATTTCCAGCAGTTGGGGTGACATCCAGTATTTTAGCATTATATTCAAAACGCACACACGTATCAGAAAAAGGACTCTAGATAGAAAAAAAAAAAAAAGGAAAAAAAGAAAAAACCCAAGTGACATGAAAACCTTACACTTTCTGAATGCTATGCACATACTCATCAACCAGGGATAATTAGGCCTGTTGAAGCCAGTGAATACTGAAAACGTACAGAGGGTTTATTTGTTGCACTGAAGGGGTGCAATAACAGGTTTGGTTTCTTTCGCTGTTTGCCTGTCAATCATACTTTTAATTACCTAATTGTTAGATCTGTTAACAGCCAAGACTGGTTGACAACTTTAGGGTAAAGGGCCTAATAATTTTACTGTCAACAGTACTCCAGTTTTTTCAGTACAAGGAAAGAAAACAAATGCAGCCTTCAACACAAACAAATGGAAAAAACAGCTCCAAAAGCAGCATGAAGCAAACGACAGGCAAGCTGTAGCACACTCAAGTGATCAAGCTGCTGTAAGTGGATGAGCATTGTTTGTGGAGTTGTCCGCTCTGGGGTTGTTGTTTGCATTTGCCTAAAGTCTGAATTGAACCATAATTTGTGCTGAGCGTATAGAAAGTTTGAGAAGTTCAGTTTTAGTTAAAAAGTGAGGACATTTGTGCAATGTTTTTTACCTGTGAAAAGTTTTGTTGACTGTTTTTATTCCTCCAGACATTCTGATGGTAGAAAGGATCAAATCTTGACAGTGCTGCTCAAAGTAGGTATGACTGTGGGGGGCAAAATACACCATGCACAATCTTCTTCGAAACAGAACTTGATCTGACAGTGTCTGTGCCTCATAGCTGCACAGATGACAAATGTCTGGGTGATGTTAAAGGGAACCGAGAAACTTCTTGAAGCCATATAAGGAGCACTTGAGGTCACTTGGTCTGTTCAGCCTGAAGAAGAGGAGACTGAGGGGAGACCTCATTGAAGTCACAACTTCCTTATGAGGGGAAGAGAAGGGGCAGGCACTGATCTCTTCTCTGTGGCAACCAGTGACAGGACCCAAGGGAGTGGCCTGAAGTTGTGTCAGGGGAGGTTTAGGTTGGATATTAGAAAAAGATTAGTTACCCAGAGAGTGGTTGGGCAGTGGAACAGCTTCCCAGAGAAGTGGTCACAGCACCAAGCCTGAGAGAATTCAAGAAGAGTTTAATAATACTCTCAGACACATAGTGTGACTCTTGGGGATGGTCCTGTGCAGGGCCAGGAGTTGGGCTCAACGATCCTTGTGAGTCCCTTGCAACTCAGCATATTCTGTGATTCTGTGATTCTGAAAAGTCTCCCTGGTGCACACTGAGCTTTCTAGTGTGCGATTCAGACAAAGAACTTCATTCCAGGAAGAGAGCATAGCTTTAAAGTAATTGATTCTTTCTTTTTTAAAATAATTTCATGTATGCTTAGAGGCTAATACACTGACATACTGCTACATCATTTGTTAGCTATTTAGTAACGGGCATGTGTTATTGCTACTTAGGGTATGGCAACGCATAGAGGCCAGAATTATGACAGGTGCTTCTCTGCAATCAGCCATCTATGAATAATTTGTAAGGCATAGTCTGGCCTAAAGATATCACACTGTATTTTAAAAACAATTCAATTTTGTACTTGCTTTTTATCTCTAGCTTCATTTTTGTGGGATAAAACCAGATTGCTACTTCAGTGGGAGCCAAGTATTTCTCTAACTATAGTGGGGCATTTGATGTGACCAAAGGTTTACTCTTATCACTGGAGTCACTAGTTCAGTTTTCTCCTTTTGGATCAGTGTTTAGGCTATGAGAGTTTTCATCACGATGAGGTAATGCTTCTGTTTTGTCTTTTGTTGATTAACTCTTTTCCCACATTCTTCTGGTAGAATGCAAAGGTTTGTAAAGCATAGGAGGCTTTGTCTTGAGCTGTTTAGTTAGCATTACTCTTAATAACCTTAGTTACTTTTACTAATTCCCTGGCAGTGTCTTAAATACTATTACTACAAAACCAACTGCATAAAAGACTCTTTTGCAAATGCTATGCCAACCTGTAACCAGTTTCTTCCTCAAATAGTGGCCAAGAGGAATAATGTCAGTTTAGCTTAGATTTTAGCTCAGTCATGGTTACAGATTACTGTTTATATCATTTGCTCGTAAAGCACATAGAAATTCAAAAGGAATCTCTCCAAGAGACAGGCTAGTTGCAGCCTATTTCCCATCTTGTTTGTGGAGAAGAGAGGCATAAACCAAAATATTTACTTTTAAGGGATGTAAAAATTGCTATTCTAGACAGGTTTATCATTAAAGGTTCTGATCCAGAGATCATTAAAGCCCATTATTAGACTTCTATGAATTTAAAGACTTCTACGAATTTATATCAGACCCTAACAGGCCACATCTGAGCATTTTTACAGGATCTGGTGGACTGCAAAAAAAGTATTGCATAAAACCTTTTCATGCTACTGCTGTTGACATCCCCACTGACAAGTCCAATGTCATAATTTCACTGTTTCCAGCTGGCATTAGATTTTGGAGCAGAATTATGGCTCCATTCCTCAGTGTGTTCACTCGTCCTGTAGCAGAAGTCAACATAACAGAAGCCAACTGAGACAAACTTGAAGTATCCTGGTAGGGTTTGCTGAGATGTACACAAGGAGATATGATGATTATTTTTTTTTCCACTTTTAAACTTGATGCACAGAGACAAGAAAATTACTGGGAGTTGTGTTAAATGACCCAAAAATTAACAGTATGCTATTGTTTCTCATCTTCGCTTTTTTGCTCTTTTCTTGGTATCTTAAAATGTTTTATACAAATTGCTTACAGCTCATATGTCTGCACATTAGCAAAGCAGAAGGTTGCTGTTTTATAGCACAACCATGGGTTGAGTAACTGGTACCAGGGTGTCCCCTGGGGGGATATGGGTCTGTTGCTGATTTTTCCATCACAATAAAGCAAACTTCAGTGGGACTGGTGTAATAGCAAGATCCAGGCCACAGACATAGATAAGGAAAATCACTCCTCGGGAGAGGGAAAGTAATGGGGTTGTGCTGGTTGCTCAAAGCCTGGCTACAGACAACATCCCTGCTTGCTCTTTCATTCTGTGCAGGGTAAGAGTGCTTGTAAAACTCAACTGCCTGTTCCTTGGTTGATCTGATGCAAATAAAATTGTCCAAAGTGATAGTCAGTGCTCTCTGTGTAAATCCAGGCTTTCCTTGGTGCCTCCTGGGACATGCCCTGTGCCCTTCCACCTTCAAGTTTGGGAATTGTCTGGGGAGGCTGGAGGGTCCTGGTGCTGGGGGGTCCCCCTGCCTGGGGGTGGGAAGGCATGGCTTCTCTCAAGGCCAGCTGCTTCTGGCAGCTGAGACCCTGCTCCTGCTCCCACTTCTGTGTGATTCCTCTCCTTTCCTCTGCCCCTGCCTTGTCAGTGGCAGGGTTTAGGGTCCCATGTTTAGGGTCACTCTGGGTAATTTTGAGAGACAGACTGAGACAGACTCTCCTAAAGGAGCCTTCAGTCCTTGCCCTCTCTGCTGCAGAGGACTGACTGCATACCCTGGTGTCCTGGTGGCTTTTCTGTACTTCCTGTGGTTACAGTGCCAGGCTAAATGCCTTTCACAGAGATTTTTCCAAGTACTTTGGGGTCATGGAGGTGTGCTCCACTCTTACCTTTCATCTTAATTTTGATGTCATGGTGCCTATGTATTTAACAAGTTTATGTCTGTCTCACCTGGATACCTTTTGCTCCAGCCTCTGGTATACTTGCTCTTTGCTATTAGTTCATCTAGTTTTGATGTATGTTTTCAGTAACTCAGTGTTTTCTGTTCAGAAGAACTCGTAGTTGGGTTTGAGCTGCTTCTCTTGGTGGTCAGTCCTTTTGTTGAAATCACCTGAATTATTCATCTCATGAGTGATCTTGCCTGTGTTTAGTGAATCTTTCAGATCTCTAAATGTAGACATAGATATCAAGACTCTGAGCAATGCATTTTAAGAAAGGATTGATTTTCCCTGCTTATTCCTGGAGCTAAAATGTTATTCTCCATTCTCAGTCACTATCTTTCAAATGCATTTTTTGTCTATTCACCAAATATTTTAGAAAATTGGATCTTATTCGTTTATTGTTTGTGTTTCAAGTTAGTAGAACATTAAAGTATTCACTTTTGAATACCCATGATCTACTTGGTCATGGACTGAATTCTTCCTTCCATGCTTATACAAGGCTTAAAATTGAGTGCTCCTGTTGTTCCAAGTCCCTTCTTTGTTCTGTGCTCAGAGATGTTTTTATTGTCTTCCTGTCAACTGCAATCCCCTCTTTGCTGTTGCTCTCACTGGGCTGAAAGACCTCGTATACTATTTGCCAGCTAATATGAGACAACGCCAGGCTTGCCAAATATGTTTGGCTTCTTATAAAAATAACTATATGCAGAGATTCATTACCTGATTACTAGTTATATCCTCTGTATACAGTTATTTAACTAACTACCAGTCAAGCCAGGAGCAAGCTGACTCCTCCAAACTCCTTCTTCCTGTAGGCTATGCTCCTCTCCTCCCGCTGAAAACAACTGCAGCTAAAACCCCTCCTCCCTGGAGGTACAATAGTATCTGCAGTATCTCCCTCACTCTCAATGCCTGTGGTGCAGGAGGGTTGTATGTATTCAGTAGAGGATTAAATACATGGCATGGCTGCCCAGATTTGGGAAACCCCCAATGTAAATGGGCTGAACTAGAGAGCAGATCATGCAGAGACAGCCTCAGAACCACAGGGAGCTCCAAGGCCTGTGACAACAAGGAACTTTTCTGGTACTTACCCAGAAATTATCTGTATGAGGACCTCACACAAGATGTTGAGGACCAAGAGTTTTTGGCCCCAAAATGAAACCCTGAAAGTAGATCATAAAATTCTCTGTATTCTCAGGTAAAGAAACCACCCTACACAATAAAGATAAAAAAAAAGAGAAGTTTTTTGTCACAGTCCCATCTTCAAAATAATGCGTTTTCAAGACTTTACAGGGGAAGTTGTAGAGCAAAGGGCAGATTTGAGTTGGGTCAGGTTTCTTGCAAGCTGTATATGTTGTACAGTGCTGAATTTGTTTTCCTGTGTTGCTTCATACTGTTATTGTTTTGATTTTATTATATGTATTATCCTAACACTTTAAAATCCCAGTTTAGAGGAATCCCACTGTGCTGGGGTTTATACAGTCAGAGCAGAAAAAAAAGTTCTACCTGCTAAGTTTGCTTTCTAAGTATAAACTAGGAGAAGAACATGGTCTACCTGAGAAGCCATCATGTAAGACGTGGTCTGTGACCAGGGGAATTCACTATGCAGAATTTTCATAGACATTTTGACAAGCTTCCAGAGATGTACACATCCTTATCATAACTATACATAAGCCTAATGAAATCTGGAACTAATAGTACATAAATCTTAGTACATAAATCTTAGTACATAAATAAGATGTTCTAGAGCTGTAGTATTGTAATAAAGGCTGTATTCATAGATTGATTATTCT